GGCATATTCCCTTTTGATAAGACCCTCCAAATTATTAAATAGTTTGTTAGTTTATAAGTTCTAATACTTGAAAAGAGATTAACTTATGTCTAATCTAGTTGGTAGACAAAGACAAAACATTTTAATTAAAAGTCTAGTTCTAGTACATTTCTTAGAACTGGTAGATGAATGAATGATTACTTAATTCATACTACTAATCATTCATTCTAATTGTCATTCTTAAAATCGACTTTTGTGACTTATGACATGTAGATATTATGAAAATGTAAACAAAACTAATTCAATAATTTGGTTACCTTTCGAAATGATTTTAAGTTGTTTTGAAATGTAATAAATAGTAAAAATTGTTTATTATTAAGATACTTATGTCCTCTTTCCTTCTAGATAAATTCTACATGGATTCCCAATTTGAAATCTACATGGATTCTCAAGTTCGAAATAGTAACAAAAATTTTAATGGAAGTAAACAAATGATAAAATATAAAATAATTCACAAAATTTATTGTAAGTAGCATTTATTTTAGGTTTTAGAAATGCAGTTTATGTTAAATGAGTCCTAAAGATATCCTAAAAATCCTACAATTTCTTTTATCCTGTAACAAAAGGTGATACAATAGTTAGTCAAAAAATATCGGTTCTAATTCTAAATGTCAAATGAGAAATTGTCAAAAATAATGTTCAAAACAAAAAACAAACCAAAATTGATGATTTTTTTTAAGAAGTAATACCTACTTCGAAAAAGGTTAGATTTGGCAAGTTGTAACCGCCCAACCCCGGTCCCCCATTTGTTCGTTATTTTACTCTCTGAAATGTTATTATTTACCTCACTAGTTTATTTTACTTTAAATTCTATACTTACTGTATTTGGCCTTTTCCTCTAGTAGTGTAGTGATCGCCTAGTTAATTAATTGATAATTTATATACCCACGTTGTGATAATGTTAATTAAGATAAACCAGGATTCGATGCAAAGTTTGGTACAAATTTGTGAATGAAATAATGCTCAAAATTTATTTAACTTAATTTATTTTTGATCTCCAATAAACTCAGTATGAACAAATTTCTTTTAATAGTAGGTAATGAGAAATTGTATCTCATATAGACCTCACATGTGTCCCGCTCAAACAAATAGGCCACAGGTCACTTGCCATCAAATATTTGTAATAAAAACAATTCTTGAGAATAGACATCAGACGTCCTCAAAATTGCACTATCTTTAATAATTCTTTGTTTCGTCGTTTTCTTTTTTATATAGGTGCGCTTACTGGTACACCGTCGTTGTAATAACAGGCGGATATCCCTTATGTTTCAGCCTCACCTAGGGAGGGGGGGGTTATGTTGATGTAGTCCTACTAGAATAGTGCTAGTTCAATACCAGCGCACTACCCCTTATGTTCAGATCTACCTACGGTGCGAAGAATGAAAGATAATTATCTAAGATAGTCCAACCCTGTAGTAACATCAAGCATATTCGGATAAATGTGAGTCTAGTCGTCCGATGTGTCATTTACCCCAATCAGCTGAGCTGTTATTTAGTAGATATTTGCGAGAGTTCATCGACAGTTCGGTAGCCAGACTCTTATTATCTTTTACAATGCTACCTATATTAATTTAAAGACAATATGACCCATAGCATACACATCTGGACGAGCTAAATGCGATGTTGGCGAGCAACAAATTCCTCAAATCTAAAGGTTGACCGTTATTGAATAATAATGAGTTACACATTAATATTCATTATTATTCAACAATAAATTCCCATTTTTTCAAATTTAATTTTGTTGTTAAGCTATTAACTCACCATCAGATATGCAGACCGTTGGGTGTATATTATCGTCTGTTTCTATTTCAGACATTTTATATTTTTGTATTCGGTACGGAAGCGTTATCTTGTGTTGGGATAGTTAGCAGGGACGTTAAGACGTTGGCGTCGGAATTTAGAGCGGCGTGACGGAGAGAGAGCGTAGTAACGCAGATCGCCAAAAGGTAGAGAAGTGAGAATGTAGGGCGTCAGATGAGATATTGGGCGTCGGATAAAATAAATGACTTTGTGACGTCGAGCGTCGAGACGTGGGAACGTTCGGGAGGTAGATTGTCGGGCTAAAGAGCGTCAGATAAAGGTAGGATATGAACTGCGTGGGTTTAGGAAAGGTACTGAACTTGAATTATGCTAGACTTGAAGAATAATACGACTGGAGCTTGAAATCAACTGAATTTAGTCTGATTTCTTTATGCCTTTCGAGTCCCCTTAAATCGGATCTTTATACTAAATTTATTTACTTTTTGTAACGCCAGTTTCTTATGTGAACGAATTTGGGCGGATAGGGGGTGGTTGATTTATTACTTGCCTTGAAAAGTTTGTATATCGAAAACAACGTTCCTATTCAAACTGACTTAAGATAAGTGCGTTAAGAGTTTTAATGATTATTACTTCGTGACAACTTATGTTGTATGGGGCTTTTAAATTAAGTTCCCAGACACTTGTAAGAAATTGGATCTCTATACGAGTTATAGATATTATTTATTATGTCTCGTAAATAAGATTTAATTATCTGGGAGATTTTTCGTTAAAAGAAGGATTGTTAATTTAATAAGAATGCAACTTGTCTTTAATAAAATGGAATTAATAAATAATTAAGGTACCTGGATGCAGTAGATTACAAAGTTTAAATAAATATATACTCATTTTTATTATGTGAAGCAACTCTAGTGGACTGGAGCAAAAATAATATTTGTGTTACCACAAGGACTAAAAGTTAAGTTTTTCGGCCGACTAAAAGAAAGAATCTCAAAAAAACCTCTTTTCTTTCATGTTTCATAGACAAAGAGGTTCGAGAGGTTAGAGGTAACATAGAAAGCATTCGCCACTGGGCCTAATATTTGTATTGTGGTAACTAATTTTGGTAACTATTAGAAGATGAAAAATTATGATAAATTTTTTGACTTCATTTGTTAGCACGACTTATTTATTATGAGGGCAATAACACTTTATCAGTAGCTAAGAAAAAGATTATAAAATTAACAGAAATATTTCATTGTATCTTACCTCACAAAATGTTGCATTATAATAACATTGAAATTAATGTAATTAATACACATTATTTTTATTATCAACCAGTTTAACAAATTATTAAGCAAAATGTTATTAATTACGTTAAAATTAAATTATAAAAGTTAAAGACTGATTAGTCTTAAGCTGGCAAAATTATTGGAAATATTCATGACCATCACGTAGGTAACTTTATGTTACTTACTTTGAAAATATATTTATATACAGGGTGATTCATACCTAAGTGGAGAAGCAAACGCATATTATTTAAATTAATTTTGTAACACCTTGTAACTTCGTAATTATTCAGTTTAGACCCCAAATGTGATAGTTAATTGAACTCAGCTTATCATAGGCATTACAATTAATTAAATGAATATAGGTTTTATAAAAAAATGTATTTTTGCTTCATTAGGCGGAGGTGCGAATCACTCTGTCTAGATCACCATATTTTCAAAGTTAGCAGCATACAGTGTCGGCAGAGCTGGGCAGTAGGTATTCGAGTAAGTTGTACTTAAGTATTCATAGTACTCATTTATTGGTACTAGTGAGTATTTTCATCCAGATGAGACGCAGAACTCAAAATGATTCCAGTACTTTTCTTTTTAGTCCGACACGCGGATGGACTTAAAAAGATGAAGATTTTTTATTTTTACCTTTTTGAAAAAATTTTATTCTTCATAAGTTTTATTTTTAAAATAATATTAATACAAATAGAAGTTGAATCTCTGCCATAGTAAAATAATGACAAAAATGTTTTTAGTTTTTCTTTACATTTCTGTAATTATTTCACTAAAGCAAAGTAATATTCAATTTCTGTTTTTTATTATTATAAGTTTTAAAACAAGCAAAAGCTTTTTTGAGAAAAAACATTTTTTCGAAAAGATGAAAATAAAAAAGTTTTTCATGCACTTGTTCAGTCCATGTATGTCCATTTTCGTCCACTCTGTACATGGAATTGGAATTGGAAAAGTAACAGAATACATTCTTAAAATATCTTTATTTTAAAAAGTATCAAATTAGACCAGATTACAGTACTGTCAGAACAGTACAATTAAGGAATGAATTCAAATAACTTCACTATATTGTAGGCGCAAAGTAAGATGTATTTTATTTATGTACAAAATAATTAATAACCGAATTAACTATCTGGATCTTCTAGCACTAGTACCATTTTCTGTTCCTCCGCGTTAAACAGAGAATACAAATATATTTACTAAACCTTTTACCTCAACAACATCCAGATATAATAACTTCCATAAACAAATTATAGCTCATATTTACAATTTGGCTATCTAAACTTGTGCTTTGGCCTCCTCCCTCCTCCCCTAATGTTTATAATGTTGAATTAGGATTTTTTTAATTTCCAATATAATTTGCTTATTTATAATGGCATTTACTAATGTAATATTAATTGTAACTTAATTATCCTTGTAGTTAGGCAAATAGGCCTGTTTGAGTAATAAATAAATAAATAATAAAATAAAAGAGTTGCAGCTGATATATTATAAATTACGGCTTCAGGGTTACCATCAGCTTTGATATATTTTATATCTTTCTGCAATAAAGAGTATAAAAAATCAACTTTAATTTATAAGTTTTAAACAAAAACATTTTCTGCCATACGGGTTTCATAATAGGTCAAGAAGACAGTGACTTTTTTCACCCTTGTAATAAATTTGTTTTAAATGACAGTTGTTTATTTATAATTATTTTCAATTAAAAAAATATATATTGGCCCTATTAATTCATTTATTTGTTCAAGTTCAATTGACCGTCAACCATTCACTAGACAGTTTTAACTAACATAATTTCGATATATTTTTTCGACTGTTCTGACATAAATGACATACATTTTACTGGAGTGCGTTTAGAAACCACGCACGGCGCGTCTGGACCCTATTCTAATGTATGTGGTGAGACGCGCCGTGCGGGGTTTCTAAACGCACTCCAGGTGTTTAAATTAGGCATTCCAACGACCTGTCAAACAATAGGTGCCAGTGGGAAATTCTTGTATATTTAAGGGGGTAGCGACATAGTCTTGCAACTTGGACGCTATTTTTATTCGAAGTAGTACTCGCCAAGCCTGCCAATTTATGAAGAAATGTATAGGTGGGTTTTTTAAATATTATTTTTATTATGTTTGACATAAAATATTTAAATGTAATCCATAATTCATGATTTTACGTAAAGTAGATAGAATACACCATATGTCGCCACCCTTAGATATACCAAACCTGCCCACTGGTAATTCATTTATTTGGAATGCCTAATTATTTTTAAAATATGGCACCAAACAATGCATAGTACTAAAAATCTACCAGAGGTCGGTAGAAGGTGGGGTACTGCAAATAAAAACAAATAATGACTGCAAACTGTCAAAAGGTAGGTCTTTTCATGTGTGGAAATTTTATTAGTATTCGCCAAAAGCTTGCATTAAAAATGCAAAAAAGAACAAATTATTATCGATCATTCCATTGTTGTTTATGTTTATAATATCCGGATGATTGTCTTAACAGCCGAACTGCTTATTCTAATAAAATATACACACACACACTTAAAAAATTAAAAATACTTTTATTCGTTTCTTTTCTTTATCTACAAAATGTTATAAAAGCCTATAGTAGCAATTATTAGCGTTTTTATTATTTTATTTCCACATCGTCATCTTCTACTTCTACTTTTGATATCTAAAAAATTAACATTTGACTTGACATCAGTACATCATTCATATATTTTGAATATTTTGAATATCCACATCGGATGCATCTGAAATGTTTTAAATCTTTAATCAGGTGATTGATTTAATATACGTAAATGTCATGCTCCGTGAACATTTCCATAATAACCTGTCAAATGATTGACCAATCATCTAATGGCCAAATCTTGAAGTTGGATACATGTTGATGTTTTTTTTATTAGTTGAATGGCTGTGGTAGGAACCAATTAGCCAGACTTTATGTTAATGTTAAAACATGCTTTATTTAGCTCTTATAATGATCAAACGAGTACCTCACCTTCTAACGACCTCTAGTGGATTTTTTGGAACTACATTGTGTGGTGCCATATTGTCTTTTGTTTTTAAATGGGATTTGAGGGAAGTTAAAACACCTATTAATAAGTGCCTTTCATCGTGGTTCTGACTAACCCTGGCGGATCAGCTGATTAGTCATGTCTAGCCAATTAGGCTGCTTTTTTTATTTCGTTAGTTTCGACAGGTCCGACTGTTCACTTAACTCACGCACAAAAAATAAAATTGTTATAAATTGTTCGTAGTAATATAGCAAAAAAATATTTTCTTATGCCATTTTGACGTCGTTATCACAGATAAAATCATTGCTGACACAGGCAGCCGTTGCCATAATATGTGGAATTATATTTTGTTCTAGAACACCAGCAAAGAGATGCGCCCAGGGACCTCTAGCGTAAATTGAAACATCGTCAGCTCCATGTGTTTCTGAATGTAGCGGAGCCGTGGCAGGCCATTTTGTATCTTTGTCATCTGTAACATTAATTTTATACTAAAAAATTGTACTTTTATTTTCAATAAATAAAATAACAAGCCATCGAGAAAAATCATAATGGAGTTGGCTGTGAAGTTTAAATGTTTTGGGTTGATACTTGAGTCTCTTCTGCAGAATGACATTTAGTACTTTATTACTGCAAAATTATACAGCAACAACAACAAAAAAAGAACCAAATATTCTTTTAATATCGAAATAATAATTAAAATTTATATAAAATCTTACAAATTGTTAGCCATTTACATCTAAACCAGTAGCGACTCGTTACCAAAATATTTAAGAAAAGTATATTATAAAGACTGAAAGTTTTTTCACCTAAAACTGTGCTGAGATCTATATTCTGTCATTCTGAACTTCCAATATTTTGGTCTAGAGCAGCCACTGGTCTAAACACGAGCCAACTCTTCCAGCAAAAACGTTTTGCAACATTTACAATGAGTTGCTGATCTATTTACACTTTTCTGTTGTTATTTCTTAATTCTTCCAGATCATGAATTGCCGTATGACCAAATAAAAAATCGCAAGACCTAGTGAGATATGAGATTCCAGCTCATAATTTTGTCATTAAATATTCTTTTATTTATTGAAATGTTTCACCAGTCGTATGTGCTGTTGCTATTGCACCATCTTTTTGTAAGTATCCATTTTGTGATTCCTCATCATACGTTGATTTGTGAATAGACCGAGACTGCGATATCGTCCAGCAGTAGATTAGATTAGATTAGGAGTGTGACGTTATTTGTCCTTGTCCACCGCGACCTTATCAGATCTATTGTGGGACTCCGTTTGTTTTAGAGTCGTCTGGCCTGGTCTTTTTTATTAGACTTTGACAGGCTTTGACAGTGGCTCCCGCATGTAGTTGCATGCATTTGGCTTTTCTTCGCCCAATGTTAGAAACCTTATTCCAGCCAGGCCTTCACATTGGTACAGGATGTGGAATGATGTTTTCTCTTCTTATTCACAGAACCTGCACAAAGTTGCCTCTTCTGCTGGATTGATGACACTCATGTGCCTTTTAAGGCGACAGTGTTCGGTAAAAAGACCTACTATTTTCCTAACAATTTAACGCTTTTGATCCAGTAGGTCTTTCGTAAACTTGGCCGATGGTTCCTTGATGAACTGTTTGGCCTGTCTCAGTCTTGGATAGTTGTTCCACCATTCCTGAGACTCTTTTTCATCCATTGTTTAATGGATGCATTGCACACTGCCTTAGCAACTCCACAGAAGGGTTCGGGGCCTGTCATGGCCTTATCTGAGCTTTCTCGGGCTAGTTCATTAGCCTTTTCGTTGCCCTGATATCCCGCATGGCCTAGTATCCAGGCTAGGGTCACCTTGTTTTGGCTACTTAGCTCTACCATGCCTTCTAGACAGTCTTTCACCAGTCGTGATTTGATTTCTTTAGAGCTGCTTGGCTATCACAGTATATGGCAATAGTTTTGCCTGATACTTGCTGATTTAGTATTTCTATCGCACAGTATTGTATGGCTATTAGTTCAGCCTGGAACACTGTTGCATATTTTCCTAGATTAAGCAAAATCGTTATTTTTGACTTGGGTCCGTAAATTCCAGCACCGGCTCTTTCCTTGGTTTTTGAACCATCTGTGTACCAGACGAGTTCAGCCTGTACGGGAGGTTCCTGTTTCTAGGATTCTCGGGCTCGTATTTGATTTTGAAAATTTCTTATAAATTTGTATGTGGTTATGGCTCTATCAGTGGGCATAGCTAAAATATTATCCCTTTTTACTTGTTGATATAGCCTTGTGTGGTCAGTACTATGTAGTTGGATTATTGGGTTTTGTCCCTGCATTAGCCTGTGAATAGCTGACCTGGTTTCTTCTTTCATGAAGATGTGCGGTGGCGTGAGATTTAATAATAACTCCATTGCTGCAGTTGGTATAGTGCGCATGGCCCCAGTAGCACTTAGGCGAGCCGCTGAATGCTAGTGAGTTGGCCTATTGCACTGCGCCTTAGGTTATCGTGTGTCTTATCACCCTTGTGTATAACGATATGGTCATTTTGGGGTTTAGATCCCAGTTTTCCAACATATTCTGCTACAGTTTACGAGAGCTATTGTAGCTTTGTATGTTAGTTTTTTAAGATGTTGATTCCACGTCAGCCTTTGGTCAAATATGACTCCGAGGTATTTGGCTTCTGTGACGAATGTGATAACTGTGTTGTTTAATACTAGTGGTCTTAGTTCTGTTTTAGACCCGTTTTTTGTGAATGGTACAACTGTTGTTTTTTGTGCGTTAATGGACATTTGTTCCTTTTTGCACTAGTTGTTCATTATGTTTAGAGCTGTTTGAGATCGCTCCGAGACTGTGCCTGCAAATCGCCCTCTGACGATAATTGCTAGGTCATCTGCATATCCTAGGCACTGCTAGCCTTCTTTGGACAATTTTTGGAGTAAGTCGTCTACAAGAACTGACCACAGCATTGGAGATAATATTCCTCTTTGTGGGCAGCCCCGTGTAACTTTTGCCTGTATGGTTGCCTTTCCTAGAGTGGATAAAATAACCCTGTTCTCTAGACAGGCAGTGGTCCATTGGCATATTGTAACTGGGACGTTTCTTTGTTCTAATGCTTTGGTTATTGACCTGGTTGAGGCATTTTTAAAAGCTCCTTCGATATCTAAGAAAGTGGCTATTGCGATTTCTTTGTTATATTGACTTTAAAAGCAGCCTGTTTAGATCATCCAGCGCTAGGTCAGTTGACTTTCCTGGCTGGTATGCATATTGGTTGGGATGAAGCGTACAGCAGTGTGTTTTAAAAAAAATGGGAACGACCAATCTTCTTCGTCGACGTATTCCAACCCAAACCCCAATTTTTTAATAATGGTTTTTAAAAAATTAAGATTTTTATTTGACCACCACATCAAATCCTGTTAATTAACGTAACCAGAAAGACAAAAACAATCCTAAGAAAAATCTGTGATCACGATATCTTCATTGTTTAGATTATTTTGGAAATCATTTTTCTTAAAAGTTTTGACAAAGGAGAAGGCACGGATTACATGGAGTTATGGCCTGCCGTATATTCACCATATTTTAATATTTTAAAGTTACTTTCACTTGAGTAATAATTGTAAAATATTAGGAGGATCGTATGGCTGTGATAGAAGATACAGCCGCTCGAAGAACGTAAGTTACGTCATAGCACCCAAGAACATTTTTGTATCGTTACTAACAATCTTATTTCCATTTGCTAGATAAGTTAATATTATAAAAAGCTATCTATTTATATTATTACACAGGGTGTTACATTTTAGCCAGTGTAAAGGTTTACGTGTAAATGATCATCGCAAATATAACAGTGCAAATATAGTAACAGTAACAAATCTGTGAACCTTTTAATTTCGTTTAAAAATAATGGTATTTGTAAATGTCAAAAGTAAAGCCTGATAGGATAAAGATATGTTTTGAGGGTGAATTTCAAGATGATACTTTTTTTTAACTGTGTATACAAGTCAATAAATTAAACATCTTTTTCGAATGTCTTTTGCCAAAAATAAAAAACGGAATTAAAATCCTAAAAACGGTCCTGGACTTATGTATTAAAAGGTAGGCCAAATAAAAAGTCCATTTATGTTTTTATCTTCTATACTTTTTCGGTTGAGGATAAAACAAGAGGACATGAGAGGTCTGTTTGGCAGAGGTGTCGATAAAGGATTTTGTAGAAACAATAAAACTGTATTAGATATAAACAACCTTTTTTTGGCGTTCAAAAACCAATATTGTTATTAATCGATAATTACTTTATTTTAGATAAATGTATGTTTAATGTGTAATGTATAAAAAAATAACAAAGTTACGTTCTTTGAACGGTAGTATCTTCTGTCACAAACATACGATCCTCATAATATAACATAATTTTTACTCAAATAACAGTTCCTTTAAAATACCAAAATATAATAAACATTTACGGCAGGTCATAACTCCGTGTAATCCGTGCATCGTTTAACACAAAAGTTCAGTTTCAATTTCAGAGTTAAAGTATCATTCTGCGAAAGTGGCTAAAGTACCAATCCAAAATATTAAATATTGCAGCCAAAAGCAAAAACCCCCAAAATGCAGATGCATTGGTTTTTTTAGTTCTTTATTGCGTGTTACGTATTACAAAGGATATCATAAACTGAACTGGAAACCAGCGAAGAGAAAATAATAATGATTACTTCGATAATGATATTGTGAAAAATATAGAAACTTTCTAGATAAGATTTGAATAATATTCCTAAATATAATAAGTTTTTTTAACTTTACTATTTCTGACAAAATACGCAAACCACCTTGGTTTCTTTCCTATACAAGAAAAATTAATACATATCCATAACGGGTCTATCTGGTTAATGTCATGGTAAAGGTAACTTAACGGATTATGAAACTGGCTGTAGTTTATAGGGTTTACGCAGCATTGATGAGAAATCACATTATATTTTGGCCTGGGAAATATCTAACGTAATTGAAAATTCATGTGAAGAACACAATAGATATTTATAGATATTTCGGTTTTTGTCTCCCTCCGCTTCGCGTAGGGAGACAACACAACCTCGAGCAAAAATCTAATACTTTTTTCCCTTGTATAATAAATAACTATTGCACGTTTTGCTTTTAACTTTTTTTCCGAAAAATTATACTGATAAAGTTCAGATTCGTACTGAATACCTTTAAAAACAATAAGTTATTGAAAAATTAGTTTGCTAGGTCCGTATAACTGGCCTAAAAAGTAAATTACTCAACTCAATTTATGGATAGATGGTACATATCTGTTCTTATTTTTCTTTCCATGTCTAAAACCTGGCCCATTGGCGTAACTCAAAATCGTATAAAAATTGTTGTCATCAGCGATACCAGCGTATCCAAAAACGTCGGTTCCTCTTTTCGCATGACCGGAAAAACTCATCGTATGCGAATGATCTGCCGTAACCACAATGAGAGTGTCTTCTTCGTCGGTCATTTCAACTGCCTTTTGAATTGCTTTGGAAAACTCAGCAGTCTCATCTAGAGCCTTGCGTGGGGTTGTAGCGTGATGGCCTTTATCTATTTTGCCTCCTTCTACAAATAGAAAGTACCCGTTTGGACCTTTCTTAAGAAGCTTAATTGCTGCTTCAGTCATTTCTTGGAGCGATGGTTCAGTAGTGTTGTCTCTGTCTAGATTATACTGCATATGGTTGTTGGCGAATAAACCTAAAAGACAAAATAATTCAGTATATTATTCAAGGGTAATACCACGAATCCTTCAAATTTAATAGATAAAATTTAAAAGATAAAATTTAAAAGGACTAGAGGTATTTGAAGAGATTTTTTAAATCATTTTGTATGAAAAAGACACAATAATAGTAGTTTGTGCAACAAGAGGGGATATAATAGCCATATCGTACGAAGACGAAATTTGAGTGCGATGTGGACAATCCACTTGAGTTGTACAGTATATTTTTTCAAGACCCACTAACGAAAATTTACAAATGAAAAAAATATTTTAGGTTATTGAGACAAAATAATTAATTTTAAAATAATTTATGATTTTTAATAATTTTTAAAATAAAATAAACGAAAAAAAAGTTCATTTAATTTTTCCCCATCCGAGAATCGAACTCGAGTCTTTTGTAGGGAAGGTAAAAACGCTAACCACAGGACCATCTATTCTTTTATTTTCGTAGCTTTAATACTGATAATTAAATTGACTGCACTCTACCTATATATGTCAGAAAGGAATCATTACAGACCTTAGTTATTAGGTTATTTTGGACTTGTTTATTAATGAGATATTTAAATTATGTCCCTTTCTTCGTGAAATACCCTGTGTACAATCCATAAAAAAGTTTTCTCCTAATATATTTGTTTTCTTACCTAATAGATATTCGGTGTCATTTTTTACTTTCAACAGTTGCGATCTATTTGAAACATACTCAGATTTAACTCCCATCTCTGCTTTTTGCCCAATCCATTCGCTTATCAAATTTATTTCATCAGATCGGTCTCCAGGTCGGCCTTCTTCATCGCTAGAGTATTTAGGAATAAATTTTTTTCGACCACCTCCTAGAATGACGTGCAAATTTTGGCCGGTTTTCCCTAAAATTAACTGGGTCGCTATGTCGACGCAAACCTTTGGATTTAGATGTGAATCTAAAACATCAGAATCGCTTTCCCAGTGTCGGTATGCAGTGTGTGCATAAACACCTATAAAAATCAAATTCATTTTAGACCATGCTCACTATAAATATTATACTTGCTCTAGTATAAATTAAATAAATCGTTGGTTCACAAGAATAATGCAAATAAAAATTTGCACCTTTGAACTTATTGTGAAAAGGTATAGAAAAATACGCATATTTTTATGTGAAAGAGCGACATATTACTACGTCTAAAAATGACCGCTGAAAAGTCGCGAATTTATGATGAAGAGTGACACAAATCTAGCTGTGCTCAGATACTCAATGAGCTAAGTTGCTTAATTTTCGGCTTGAGTGTCACAGATCAAAACATGACAGTTATTAAAAAATAAACTAAGAACAATGACAAAAATCAATATAGGACATTACTGCTGAAAAGGTCATTATTATAGTGTGAAATATACTTTTCTGGAAGATAGTCATAATACAAAAGAGAGTTGAGAATATATTATTTTTGGGTATTTTCTTAATGTTATTAAAGCAAACTTGTTTTTGTTTTAAATAAAAGGTGAAAACTAATATGTATTCCCAAAAAAGACCTATCAGTTTTTCAGGTTAGGCAAATGCAAGACTGTTACTTATATAGACGGTGAATAAAATTGCACATAAAACTGTTGGTTGGGGCAAGCCAAATCTAAATGTATTTTCACTGCTCTATTATTTTTAACAACTTGTCAAGACAAGACTGACGATGTTCGACATATGGGCCAAGGGTGGAAAAAGAGGCTGAAGAGGGGGCCTTTAAAAATCATCTGTCGATGACCTTGTTCTCCCCCAAACAAAGTCAACAATGAAGGCCGTCGAGCAAAAAAACATAGCAACCGATGACCTCCAACAAGAAAACTTAGTAGAGCCACACGAGGCTACCCCCTCTCCTTTGGAGGAAAGGATGGTCAAACGAAATAACCACACCACTGCCCAAACTTTAATAGAGGATCGGAAAGCAATTAAAGAGGTAATATTCATACAATGTAACTTGCAGCATGGGTGGCTACATGGAGATCCTACAGTAAAGAAATCAAAGATTTGCCGCAGGTAGCGCGGCTTGAAAAAGCGTTTTCAAGAGATCCAAACCGTTGCATTGGTGCGCTAATCAAAGAAGATGACATGAAGACTGCAAATTTTGAAGATAGCATCAAACTACTGCTATCAACAAACTTTTTTAAATCAGTTTTCACAGACGTGGCCGATTGGACAAAGGAAGAACACAACCCATCTGTCTACGATTGGCAAACTGCCTAACACATTGTAGATGATGATGGCAATATCCATCTTCTCTCCATTTAAGTCGCTAGGACCTGATGGCATCTATCCAGACCTACTTTTTTAGTGGTGCCTGGTAGGTATATTCAAATCTTCGTGGCGCAGGTATATCCCTAAAAAATTAAAAGAGGTAAAAGTGAGCTTCATACACAAACCTGAAAAGATGGATTACATACACTGTCCTAATATCGTTGTCAATGAAGACATTGAAAAAGCTGTGCGAAACGTACATAAAGGATGTGGCGATTACAACAACACCACTACACTCAAATCAACATGCATACACCCCAGGCAGATCTACTGATTTAGCACTTCACCTAGTTGCTAGCCAGATAGAGGGATCCCTAACCAATAAGGAGTCCGCCATAGACACAGAAGTTGTTTTTGACAAAACTCACTAACAAACAGAAATGTTCTACAGATGATTAGTGGGTGGATAAATAATATGCTCCCAAATCGAGCAGTAAACATAAGTGTAGAATATGTGAATACACGAGGCTTGGTTGCGAGGGAATGTCCACAGGGAGGGGTAATAATAACTTCTACTAAGGAACATGGTCCTCGACATCCTCATCAGCCGCCTCAATAATGACAGTCTCTACACAATAGCGTATGCAGAAGACCTGATCATTCTTAAAACAGGAAATTTTAAGAACATAATTTGCAAAAGAATGCTCTCAAAATTATAGAAAATTGGTGCAAAGACCATTCACTGGCTATGAGTCCCAAGAAGATATAAATGGTCCTTTTTACAAGAAAACAGATGAAAGAAGGTACTTCAGAGCTCTTAAACACAAAACTAAACTATGCAACAAAGGTGAAGTACCTAGGTCTTAGTTTTGACAGCCAGTTAACATGTAACTCACACCTAAACAACATAGTCGAAAGAGCATATTATAAACAATGCTGCCGAACCATGAGACGAATATGGGGTTTCTCCCTCAGAGTCGTCATATCGACTTACACGACCATCATAAGACCTATGCTAACATACAGTCAGGTTATCAAAAATCAAACAATTGAAAGCTATCCGCAAACCAGAACCATAGAAGTAATTTTTAGTGCACTCCCCTTGTTATCTATATGATGACAATGACACGACTCCGCACTATTGAAATAAAACCTGATGCGGGAGACGCTCGATAGGCTTCCACTGCTTTAAGCGAACATGGAGTCCATCTCACCGAGATATATTATCCATAAGCCATATAAAATTATAACGAAACAAATAGAAGAGCCGGAAGTGACAGGTAAAGCCTTGGTTTCTTTGAACACTCCGTTAGGGTGAGCGGACAGTCCGTTGACCGCTGAGGACAGCGATTTTCGGCCGAGGTGGTTTGTTTAAAAATATAGAAAATGAGACCTTCTCTATCTGTACGTGCTGTTTATGTATTATGAATGTAAACGAAAGGTACTAAAATGGACGCAAATAAATTGTTTGCGTTGTTATTATTGTTGAAAGAGGAAGAACAAGAGGAGCTGGCAATTGCAACCGTCAAAGTTTCCAATAAGTTGTTTTTGTGTCGCGATACAGAAGGTGCCTTTAATATCACTGTGCAGCGGAGGCTTTTTGGTAATGAAACCAAATTTAGGGAGTATTTTATACTTACTACATCTTTCTGAATTCATGTTGAGTTTTATAAACGACATTTCCAAGAAACCTACAAAAAAGTCATCTGTATGTGTGAATTTGTCTGTCATAGTTTTAAAAATAATAATATAATTATTTGTACTTATTCACAAACTGTCTCTGCACACGCCGACGATTCCGCTGATATCAAACTCAACAGATATGAACCGACTAGTCGCGACAAATCAGCGGCATGACGCCGTCCTTCTCAGCTAAGCCGACTCAAGAAAACCATTCCCATTTAAATACTCTGGTTGAATAAAATCGTCAAAACGCGACGGTCGGCGGACTGTCCGCTCACGGCAACGAAGTGTTCGAAGAAACCAAGGCTTATGATTCATATCTACACCGACGTTCTAAAACAAAACAAGCAGGATGTGAAATATACTCCAAAAACTTAAACCCAAACATAAAGTGGGCTGTGAGCAATAGTGCCAGTGTAGTTCAAACAGAACTTACGGGGATTATCGTAGTTTCAAAAGAAGTTACCAGAAACAATATCACTGGAACATGCTCATTATTGAAGTCTTCAACATATTTTTGTTGTATAACACATTTAACTTAAAACGCCCCTGGCATTACTAGAAATAATCGAAACGATACGTCACTCTTTTTCACGCTAAATGCAAACTACAAAATGTTAATAAATGCTCTCACATAAGTGCTGGCTCGCAAATGATTGGTTGAATTTAACCGACGCGAGATGCCACCTTTCTTTTAGCTTCGCGTTCCCAACAATATTTTTTTTACCGTGCATCGCCATGATGAAATTTTACTAACAGACACTACTTACCCTAGACAGACCACGTATTTACTAAGGGTTCGTTTTTAGAATATCACGAAGCTTTGGACGAAGTCACCATTAACAATATGGCCACCTTAAGACGGATTAAAGGTCACGCCATATCGAAAGGTAACCATCTTGCTGATTCCCTATCCAAGAAGGCAGCCAACCAAATACCATTTGTACCTGGCCTTTCCATTATTGGTTTGACAACATCGGTAGTGACAAACGTAATAAAAGGCAAGATGGAATAAAACAAGAAGCTATAGAGTTGCCAGTAAGCTTTTAAGTTATCCTGACAACACTACAACAAAAAAATACTTGACTATGACAAGACAAAATCTGCGCCTGATCACAGTGCGGAAGCATCTCCATATCATGGGAATGTCAGAGTCCGCATTCTGCAGAGGACGCGAACAAGAAAATGAGACCATCGAGCATATCCTCTACGATTGCCCCACATTTAATATTCAGGCTAGCTCACGATATAGGAGGCGCCTATCACCTTAGGCGAATGTACAATGAGCCTAGTGAGGCCCAAGAGCCGTAGGGTAACCCACCTTCCACACGTTAAAGATACAGATACAGAAAAATGTAATAATTCAAATTAGTCTATAGTTTATTTTCAATTCATCGGTGTACTATTTTTATTTAAAACTTGGTTATAAATTTTACTAAAATAGCCTATGTTCATTAAAAACTTTTGTTGTATTACTATATAAAAGTTAATTTTTCGTTCTTACCAGCAGGTGAAGCATGTGTTACTCTCGTCGTAGTAACTAGACCGGTCCATTTATTTTTCTTTTGAAATAACGTTGCTATGGAATTTACATGGTTTTTCAGTTCATTCATAGCACTACAATTCTGCTGTTCCACGGCTGCTGTTACACCAATTGTACCCAAGTTAGCCTTCACCCCACCTAGGTAAGCAGTTACTGAGCACGCAGAATCTGCTGTTTGATGGTCTACGCAGTATGTCTACAAAAAAGAGTGACATTTGACAGTGGTGACACTTTTAATTGATTATTTGCAGACAAGTAATTTCATTATTCGTTAAAAAAAATAAGTTTTTAAGGATAGCACCAGCAAAATTTAAAGAGGTCATATTAAATAAAAATACGTAGTTGTGTTAAAACAACAGTTTTTAAATAGCGGCATAAAATGTACAATTAATGTTTAAAATAATAATAAAATATAAAATAACAGATAAAATAATAATAAAAATAAACAAATATATTTTTATTGTTTAATATTCAATATTTAAGCCCTAAAACCAAAATCACTTGATAACCAAATTTTACTAGTTTTGAAAAGAAAAATACGTGGAAAAAGCAATGTGTTTGTTTGATGAGTTACATATTTTAAAAGACTTTTTTAAATTTAACACCTTTTTAACATTAATTTTGAAAATCCATTTAAAAAAATATGTTTTTTAAATATTACCTCTGCGTTAGTTAAGAAGGTGTAAGTAAGACATAATATAAGAAAAACGAGAGAAAAAATTACAAGAAGTTATTTTTTATAATACTAAATTAAATTTTTTTTATAATTTCTGAATTTGGCAGTGTTCTCATAAATGTCTTCACTTTCTTTTTAAAGAGGATACCTATTAAAAAATAATAATAATAATAATAATAATAATAATAATAATAATAATAATAATAATATATTTATTATTCTGTTTTCAGCAAGACATCACTCAAGTGTAATAGGTATTTTGCACCCATTCACAATTTTATAGCTATTCATTAAATACAGGTCAACATTACTTAATTTTCATGGTCTAACCAAATAGTATGATAGCCAGTGACAATCTATCTGTACACATTAGCGTAAGACTAATTTACAAATTTTACATTCTTGTCTTATAGAAAATAGAAATACATTGCTGCAAACGCACCAGCTGTAGAGCTCTCGATGGCATATATTTAATTATATAATAAACTTGACATAGCTCAAGTTGTTACGCACTCAACTTTGGATGTAAAGATCTGGATTAAATTTTCGGAATTGTGAAAATCGTAAAAAAGTGAAAAATACGACCAAAAATACGTGTTTGTAGCCTTAATCTTTAGACCCGAACTACAAAAGTCTTTTCACCTCCGAGTAAAGACAAAAGCACAGGCCTGTCACTCCCTATACTTCCCATGTTAAATTCTGGCTCAAATCTCAATGACCTCGGCACCTCTTCCCTATTGGTCTGGGATATTTTTGACAAGTCTGGGGTCTCCAATCAGCACGTTGGCTGTTGTCACATGGGGAACAATGATATCGAAAAGTAAAAAATATTCAGATTTTAAGCCACTTGAAGACAAAATTAGTGTCGTTATTACAAAATTTATGTTTTTTTGGTTTTTAAAATAATGTTGACGTCGATGCCTCCTCTCTATCGGTCTGGAGTATTTTTGACAAGTCTGGCCTCACCAATCGGAGCGTTAGTTGCTGTCACATGAGAAAAATGACATCGAGAAAAGTTATTAGTATTTTTGCAGATTTTCACTGCACAAAACCTTCATGATGTAATTTGTATTAAAAAAATACAGATCAATAACAAAATTAGATCATAAATAAATGTTTGAACCAAAAAGAGAAATGATCAGAAATAATAATAATAATAATAATAATGTTTATTCAATTTAAAGAAAAAATACATTTTAGTAGATACAGAAGTTTAAAAAAAAATATAAATAAACATTCATACATCCGCTGAGACACGATTGTGTCTGTGTGCGGGGAAGCATAATAATAATTAATAATAATAAATAATAACAATAATAATACCAATGTAATAACTATAACTACAATGATACATAAAGATAATAAAAAATAAAATTAATTAAAAATGGCTAGATAAAAATTTGCAGTCTGTTAAAATATTTTTTTTTTATTTATATTTATTTTCCACACAATCTTAAACAAAATAATGGTTAAAATCTGTTAAAACTGTTAAAATATTTTGTACACAATCGAGATTAATTAGTATCACAATAATAATAATTTTAGGAATAACTGCATATACCTAAGTTTTATATATGAACATCATGGATTCATTATATTTTGAAAAAATGTTGCACCTGTACTTTGTATCCAATATTTCACATTTTTCTTGTAAATATAGTACGAAGCTGAGTTTCTTATGTGTTCAGGTAGGCAATTAAGTAATTTTGTGCTTATATACATGGGACTGCGTTGACATTTTGGTAGTAAGTATAGATTTTTTGTTCGAGTTTCGTATTGATGTGTTTGTGTTTGAAATTCTGGCCTACGTTTATAGATGTTTAACAAAAGTCGTAATGCATATAGTTGTCTAGAATCAAGAATTTGGCTCTCTTTGTACAATTTATCACTTGGGTAAGTTTTATTTTTTTTATACTTTAATTTTATAATCCATTTTTGTATAACGTTAATATTTTGTAGGTAACATTGATTGGTGCTACCCCATCCAATTATACCGTAGGTTATTTGTGATTGGATTAGTGAAAAATAAATTGTTCGAAGATACCTGATGTCTAAATAATTCGATAAAAATTTAAAACGTGACAGAAAACCCCTAATTTTTTGTACAACATGGTCAATATGATAATTCCATCTTAGGTGACGGTCTAAAATAACTCCCAAATATTTAATTGTAGGCTGTTCGGGAATGGAAGATGAATCGCTTACTTTTAGCGGACCAAGATTGGGTAGGCTACTTACGTATGAACAAAAGGGTAAGTATTTAGTTTTTTCAATATTAAGAGTAAGTTTGTTATATTGAAACCATTTTATTATTGTTTGCATTTCTAATTCAGCTGTTGTTTTTAGTGAATCCCAAGTTTTTCCCTTGTAAAGGATGGCTGTGTCATCTGCAAAGCTAATAACAGTGCCGTCCGTTTTCATTTTTAAAAGTGAATTAATATACAAACTAAACAATAATGGACCTAAGACTGTTCCTGGCGGAACACCGAAGGTTACTTCTCTAATTTCACTTACAACATCATCTACTTTAACTTGTTGTGTGCGCCCTGATAAGTAACTTTTGATTAAATTGTGCATATTGCCCCTAATACCATATGATTCAAGTTTTTTCAACAACAACTCATGACAAACAGTATCGAAGGCTTTGGACAGATCAAGAAATATACATAACGAGGGTATTTTTTACCTATATGTGAATATATTTCGGATATTAATTTAAAAATTGCATCCTCTATTGATCTACCCTCTCTAAAGCCATACTGCATGTCAGAGAGAACGTCAAATTTGTTCAAGAATTTTGTGATTCGATTTTTAATAATTTTTTCAAATATTTTAGATATATTAGATATCAAAGTAATAGGACGATAGTTTATTATTTCATTTTTTTTTGCCACTTTTAAAGAGGGGTTTGATTGTACCTGTCTTTAAGCAAGTTGGAAATACACCATTTTGAAAGCATTTATTTATGATGAATGTTAAAGGAAGTACTATTTCATTAGTTACTTCTTTTAATGTTTCAGCCCGGATGTTATCTTTACCTGGAGATTTTTTATTTTTCAAATTTTTTATCATATTTTCAACCTCAAGAGTATTTGTAGGGAATAGGAAAATCGAGTTTTCCACTTGTTCAATGTGGTCAACATAGTTGTCAGGGGTTGTTATTTTATTAGCATAATTTCTTCCCAAATCACTGTAATGGGTGTTAAAATGATTACTGATTTCATATTTGTCAGTAATAATGTTATTATTAATTACGATATTTTCGATTTTTGTTTCGGGTGTGCCTTTGCCGCAGATTTGGTTTACACATCGCCATAAATTTCTTGAGTTGTAACCATTTTTGTCAAATATTTGTATTTTGCCTTATTAATTTCCTTAGTAAGGTTATTTTTTAGAATGTTATAATTATTTTTTAAAACTGTTATGGGGGTCATCTTTCAGTTGCCTATACATATTGTTTTTTATATTAATTGATATTATAAGTTCTTTTGTAACCCATGGTTTTCTAGGACTATTTTTTTTATAACTTTTATTTTTTTTTGTATTCTTTTCAATATAATGTTGCAATTGATCAATAAAATTTTCCATAATGTTGTTGGCATTATTTCCAGTGTAGACATTTTCCCAATGTTGTATACTAATATCATTTTTTAAAGCGGGGTAATTTATAAATTCCTTATACAATACATCATTTGTATTGTTTGTCATCGGTAATAGAAAGTTTTTAAAATAAACACCTACTGGAGAATGATCTGTTAGACTACTTTTCAAGATAACCGAATTTATATTTTCCTGTTTATAATTAGTTTTTACAAAAATGTGATCCAAGCAGGTACCACTTACACTACTAGTAGGGTGAGTAATTTGATTTATATATGAAATAAAATCATGTTCGTTCAAAATGTTTTTATATTCCTCCGTTATTTCGTTATTGCTAAGCAGGTCGATGTTAATATCACCAGTTATGATATGGATATCAGATTTTTTCAAGTTTCCTAAATAATTGTTAAGGTCCTCAACAAATATTTTTGGGCATGTATCATTTGGAGATCTATAAATGGCTGTGACTTGTATTACTTTTTCATGCATTAAAATTTTAACTTCAAGAACTTTTATTCTACTAAGATATATAATTCTTTTTTCATAACGAAAAGTATTTTTTATGAAAGTTATTAAACCATCATTTTGATTTATATCACCTTCATTATAAATAATATCATAGCCATTTATTGAATACAGACTCAGATCAGGAATATTTCTTGTTTCTGTTAAAACAATAATATCTGGAGTAAAAACAAGTTGTCCCAAAATTACGCAATATTCATCAAAATTTTTATGAATACTTATGTTGGCGTGAAATATTTTTAAATCAGACTGTTGAAGCATTATTGTTTTTGGGTCATCTATTATGTTTGCCAAAATTGGAATATTTTCGTAATCTCTTACAAATGAATCCATTTTGCTATATATGCTTTAAATACCTACTTTCTTAAACTAATTAGCGGAAACATTTACCAACAATAAAATATTTCTGTGAACATAAGATATTACCTATAGTAGAATCTAAATTTTAAAAAAATAATAAAAATAAAGAGACATAAATTAAGCCTTAAATTTAAAATTATTTAATTTTTTCTCGAGTTATTGTTTAGTGATTGTAATCTAGTACGAATTGGGTTTTGTTGTTGTTTTTGTTGGAGTGGGGGTTGGTTTGAGTTTACTTGTTGATGTTTTGATTCTTTAATTGCTGGTGGTTTTGGATGGGTCTGTTGTATGGGTAATTGCTGATTGTTTGTAGTATTTACTAAATTTGGTTACTCGATTTGGGTGTGCTATATTTTTCTACAATAGGTGTTCCGGGATCACTTCTATGCCTTTCTTCTTCTACTTCTTTGTACTCGTCTCTGTTATTCTCAAAGTCGGACAAATCTTCTATTTTATAGGGTTTATTGTCGATATATGACTTATTATGTCTTATGTAACTTACAGTGGAGGGATATTTTTGTCTTATTTTAGTTAAGTTCTCCTTTAATATTTTCTTTTCCTTCAGTTGGATTTTTGTGTAATCATGGGATATGGAGACTTTCGTACCTTTGAGTTTCTTTGTATTCCTGAGTATTAAAGTTTTCTTAAATTGTGATAATAGCTCCAATTTAATAGGACAATTTGCAGTCTTTCCTAAAGGATAGCAATCACCAATGTCGTTTTCGCAAATATTTAGCTCTAGTAATTTGTTTAAGTCTTCAGACAACTTGTTGACAACAAAACCAGAATCCGGTTTCTTTAGGCCATATATTACCAAATTTTTCTTTTTATTGTCTCTTTCCAAGTGTTCTATTTTTTGTTTAAGTACTTAATTTTCTTGCTCAAGAAAGCTAGGTTATATTAGATTAGATACATTTATCCGCATAAAATATTTTAAATTTTCAAGGTCACAGACTTTCAGATCGATTGACATTATAGTGTGATCTCTTGTGTTAACTATACTCTTTGACAAAAGTATCTACTTGCTGATTAAACTTTACGGCTATTGTATGTTAATCTGTCAAGTAAACCTACAAAGATCGGCCATTAATATATTAACATAATGTGTGGGTGTTATATAGATAAAAAAGTGTATTTAGTCTAAGAGCCAAACCATAAATAGGTTTAGCATTAAGGCGTCTCCTTTAGGAGATTGTTTTGAAAGATGGAAGACAGGATTAAAATAGGGATTTAAATTATTTCTTACCTTAGAAAGTGCCGTGTAAGGAAAGTGTTCAAAAGATAGTTGCTTTTCTTCTCCTCCCAGATAAACTCTGGTTGCAGTAATTGTTGGAATGGACATACCATCACCAAGAAACAAAATTACGTTTTTGGCAACATCTAAGGAAAAAAGTCATTATAGCAAAATGTTTGTAAACTTGTTTATCTGTTATACGGATTTGTAAACAGAATTTCAGAATCTGCAGAGTATTTCCTAACTAGTTTTTTATGCCTTATCATAAAAAATAATTGATTTTTTTTTTTAACTAGAGAAATTTTTAACCCAACAATGGATATAACAAATCATTTTGATTAGAGAAAAATATCTTTCCTGGGGAATATTTTGATTTTGCCAAGGATACAAGATCACCAGAAAATAAAAATATATTAAATAGGGCTATCCAAGGAAATCCTAAATCATAAAGAAGAATCCTTCAGCAGATATCTAGTAAAGCATGCAGATGTCAAAGAAACTATTATACGATCTGAAAAACAACCAAAAAGATAAAACTCTCCTATCATAATAGCATATAACAAATAGGCAAGAGACAATCAACATAAAGATGATATTTTTACTGACCACTAACAAGAGACATTCCAATTAGAAGAAAATCAAGACACACTCAGCGAGAACAACTGGAAATTAAGCTAGTTACTCCCAATAAAGTTGCGAAAGAAATTCAGACAAACATCAACACATAGAAGGCTCCCGGATATGACCCGATTACTAGAGAAATATTAAATAAACTGCCAAATAAGGCAATCGTTAAATTAAAATACCTAATAAGTGAAGCATTTCATCTTAAATATAATATACCAGATGCGTGGAATATGGCTGAAGTTATCCCAATTCCTCAACCAATATCATTGTTACTAATAAAGACCAATTAAAAATAAAAACCACCTGATCCCTTCGCACCAATTTGGTTTTAGAAATAAACAATCGATAATAGATCAAGTACACAGGATAACTGATAACATCCTTAACTCGACCCAAGTATTTGGTTTGGTTTAGCATACTGGACAGAAACCTCGAAAAATGCTTCCTAGACAATGTATCGAAATTCTTGAATCCTATTTTACAGAAAGAATGTTTAGCGTGAAGCAAAGGAGGCTTACTCCGAAATTAAAGATATTAAAGCAGGTGTCCCACAGGGCAGTGTGCTAGGAATGGTTATTTATTTTTTATACACCAGCGATATCCCGCAATGATAAAGTATTAAAATAGTAACATTTTCGGATGACACTGCAATATTGGCACTTGGCCAAAATAATACCTAGACCTCAGAAAAACTTCAGGAAACAATCTTTAGACAGATCAAACTACATCAGGGCATGTTGATTTTTTCTTCACCAAAATGAACAAAAACAAACAAAAATAAACAATGATGTATTTCCGCATCATAATTCGGTCAAATATCTAGAAATGAACAGCTGTACGACTTAAATGTAAAGAGCACATAAAAAAAAGCGTCAAGATATTGATCTTAAATTCAAAAAAATGTATTAGCTCCTAGGAATAAAATCCAAGTCGTTAGTATACATATAGTAAACTAATAATTTATAAACAAATCCTAAAACCAACTTGTATATATGGCACACAGATATACTCTGCCATCAAAAGTAATAACAACATGATACAAGTTTTCCAAAATAAAGTCCTAAGATGTATCTATCAAAACAGGCAGAGTTATTTGTGGTTTAGCCATTGCTTTGTAGCATATATTGCTTGTTTGCTTGTCTGTGTGTAAGTAACTCTTTCTGCATATCAATAGAGACATGCAATCACCGAGTGTCTGCCTCCCGTGGCACCCCTGGATACGTTAATATTGCTGCTCTAGGAACAAAACTATTAACTAACTGAACGACACTTCATCAAAATACAATGATCTAAGGTGTAAGGCCACGTGATCAAGGCTGAATTACCGCTAGGAAAGCGGTTGCGAACGTTCTACTGGGGCAAATTGGCGAAACTCCCTTGTTTCCGGTCTTGCTCGCGCGTGCGGTGCTCTGCGCCGGTCTACTTTTTCTTTCTTAGCTGTTCGTGGAACTTACGTGGTATATAAAAATAAAAACAAACAGCGGAAACACACCACCTCCAATTCTGATCAAACGGAGCCTGCCATCCGAAGCGATCAATCTCCCTCAACGTCTCAAGTGAAATAACCTCACAAAAAAGAAAGGGGAAAACAAATAATTGAACCAGAGAAGAGGAGCACTACCGTCTTATTTATCCTCCTCTCACAACCTACCAGTAAGGGAAGCTTCCCTTAAAAAGTATAGAAAAAAATTACCTTTCCTACCTAAGCTAGGACAACCTGGTGGAAGAGACGACGCTACCTTGATCAGGGCCTAACACCGAAGGAAGCGAAAAAGAGAGCACTCGAGCACAGATCCCAGGGAAATGAGACCAAGCCCATTTCCAAAGATCTTAAAAGAGAGCGGGACTGAATGTGTAGCACTCCAGAATCCAACAAAACTATACCGAGGATCATAACAAATAGAAAAGAAAGATTCACCTTAATTAAAGCTACTCCAAATTCTACACTTCCTTGAGAAGATGGAATGAGAAAGGTCGCCAAAAGGATGCACAATAGATCTTTTAGATCGCATTGTATTAACACTCCATTCCCAACATAACATCTATCAAAACGATTATCTTCATGGAGACGTAAAGATGTCACTAGTCAAAGAAGAAATTAGGAGATTAAGGAGGTGAGTGGCTTAGTGGTAAAGTCTCTGCCTGTAGATCCAAGGGTCCCAGGTTCGAATCCCACCATTGGCCGAAATTTTTTCGTTTAATTATTTAAAATTAATTCTGATGCCTTGGTAGGATTCCCCACTCGACCATTCACTGTTGGATTCTAATTAACAGTGCTGTTCCTAAAGTGGCGCTGGAAAATAGTAACAAAGTCTACAGAGAAGACGAGACGAAATAACCTTAGCAATTGAAACCGATGACACAAAAAAAAATAAGGAGGTTTGCTTCGAAATCAAAAAACACTGCAATTACTGAACAACTCTACACTCAACAAAAGGCTTGAAAGGAAGAATCCATTTGAACTTGTTCAGTGAACGTTGTTAATACTAGTGTTAAACAATGCAATAAATCGTCACGTCAACTAGTCACACTTTCTTATAGAAATAATAATTGACATTTCAATAGATACTTCTTAAGGGGGTACAAATCTGAGCACGTACGTGCATGAGGCAAGCCAAAGCCGAACAGAATGCCTTATGCGGCGCATTTTTTATACACGAATGATGGACGCATGAAGCCCTATTCGTCACTGATTCAGTAAATTCGCGAGCACGGAACCGTACACCTAGAACACTGGTAGAATTAAAACAAAAATGAAGGATGAGAATGACGTCGCGGAGTTGCCTGTCTGTTTTATTAATTTTCTTCGTCATGTTGAAGACAAAAAAAAAAAGAAGAAATAATCGATGGCCGATTTCGTGTCAAGCATTTTCTTTTTTATAGTGTTGTAATAGAACAATAATGTCTTTCTCTCCATATGATATCTCGCTGATTATATGAATTCAGGAGAAGCAAAACGTTTTCCTCATTTCACTTCGTGAAAAATAAACCTTAAAAACTTGCTATAATCTATTCGATGCTGTATGGTACAAATTCTCCGTCCGCGCGTCCAGACTGAGTACGTACTGCGCATTGCCTCCCTTCCGCGCCTCGGAAGCCCGTCCACATCTGCATGCTCATGCGTCCTCGGCTTGCCTCATATGCGTACGTGCTTAGATCTGTACCCGCCTTTAGATAATTAGTTCATAAGATTTTTAGATTAAAATTGTAGGTTAGTCAAGAATGACTAGTAACAATACTAAGAAAAATAAGTATAGTTAGAGATATGTGAAGCCATATCTAAGAAGTAGAAACACGTGCACCACCAAGCGTGCCCAATTTAAATAGCAGAGTGTGTCTAGGGCAAAGGGCTAAAGTAAAAAAAATAAACTGGTTCAAGCGATAGGCCTTAAGCTTGAACTGACATGTTCGTAGTAAAGTAAACTCAGTATAATCTTACTTTCAAGACAAAATTAGTAACAAAAGTTAGCATCGAGAAATAATTATAGTATACATGAAGATGGAAATTAGTAAATTTAAATAAACCTTACTTACTTGTGTTCAGTTTTTTAGCTATTTTTTCCTTTAAAAATTTTATAGCTAGTTCGTCCCAGAAAATTTTTGTCTTTTCGTCATTTATTTCTTTAGATGTTCTTACATGTGCTAACAGGTTGGAATCTTCCAATAATTCGGATTCAATTTTGTCTTTCAGTGCTAAAATAAAAAAAATAATTAATATTAATAGTAAGTAGAAAATAATATCAGAGGCCAGAAAAAGTTGTGTCCCTTAATATTCTTTTAGTTATTTCGATTTTACAGTATTCATTTATTTTTGCTAACACAAGTCGACAAAAAAATATTTTTCTTTAGGTTTCTGTTCTAATGCTTGAATTCTGATTCTGGACATCAAAAAACACTTAAATTTCCATTTTAGCTTTTAAAGTTTGCTTTTGTTTGATTTACGTCGATTAGTATGTTTTAAAGATTTTAATTCATTTTATGAGCAACTGACATTAAGTGACAGCTTTGTCGCTCGCCGAGCGGAAAACTTGACTCGCCTAATTTAAATGAGCTATATTATAATATTTCTTTTTAATAAATGATTTTCAAGTTATATGTACTTAGTTTGATGTTTTTTGTATTATTATCTAAGTTAACATTGACTTTAAATATTAACACCATTATAGGCAACACATTATACGCTCATTAAGACAAATTTTCAGTTTTTATATCTATTTTTTAAAATAATTTGATCGTAGAAAAAATCTTGTTTGCATTTTAAACGAAAAGTTCGTTGCCACTTTCGACAGATTGCCGCGCTCCGCTAGGCGTCATGCGGGCAACTTTCTGTCTCAAGCAGCAAAGTATCACTATTCGCCCTTAATACACAAATAGCTATTAAGTTGCCTTTAGTCTTAAAAAGTAATAATAACGTAAATCAGATAATAAAATATTTTACTTTACGCACAAGTGCCTACCTATACACACTATTATAGCGTGTGTTAAGAACTAATTTTAAGCAGAAAAAAGTTTTGTCCTTATACATATACATATTTCTAACCTCATTTTAAAAATTTTAAATTTATCTGTTTTGTTATCTATAATAGTACATTTTTTTAACAAACAAATAATGAATAAAAAAGAGAAAATATTAAATATTTAATTTCAAATATCAACAAGGGGATTAAACGGGGACACTCGCTTCTCGCCTAGGGACCCATCAAGGCATTAAAAAAAAACAGACATACACTAGGTCATGGTAAGGGGGTAAAATAAAACGATAGTTAAGAAAACAAAAGTAACGAGTCTAAAAGAAGTAGTAATCACAAGCGTATACCTGATTACATTAAAAATTTAATCAAGCAGTCATAAATGTTTGTGGAATTGGAGGACAATAAACTTTGGATATTCCAAGGGCAGCATATTTTGCATTTAAGCAGGTCGTTATATAGCTTGCCAGAGAATTTTTTGTTTTTAGTACAATTAAAGAAGATATGGTCTAGATCTCCTTTTTCTTTACACGTCTCGCATTGGTCACTTTCAGAGACTTTAATTTTGTACAAATGGCTATGATAACAGTCATGACCAAATCTCATCCTAATGATTGTCAATATGTACTTTCGCGGTATATAATAATGCTTGTACTAAGGGGTCTTAGGAATGTTTAACTGAAGAGTCGTATACCTCGTTGGATTTGTAAAATAATATTCCACAACTATTGCCATTTATTGAACTGATTTCTTTTTAATACTGCAGTAACATCAGAAACAGATAAATTTTATGACGTATTAGAACCTGTTTGGCCAACAAATCTACATGTTCGTTGTGCTTTAGCCCAATGTGAGCTTTAATCCAAATAAAATGCACGTTCTGGCCTCTTTTTGAAAATGTTTGGATAAGTTTCTTAATTTTTATTACAAAAGGACAAGTCGATGTATTAAGAAGCCCATTTTTTTAATAGATGTTAAAACAGAGAGAGAATCTGATATAATAACAATCGTTTCTTTTTTGCACAACTCGAGTGGATTTTCCATATCCACTCTTGTTGCACAAACTACTATTTTATTCTTTTCTCTTTTGAAGTATTGCTCTGTATGAGCATATGACCAAAAGAGTTACTCTAATAAATTAACTACAAAGTCACTTTAGGTATATTTGTATAAGAATTGAAGGTATATTTTTATAAAAACAACGATTAGAATAAATATCTGTTATACTTAAAAAAAAATTTCATTTTAATTCCATTTTTTAAAACCCACTGTATAAACAATCAGAGAAAAGATTATGTTTCATACGGCAGAAAAACAGATTTACTGCATTGGCTAACGCGTCGCGCGACAACTCTACAAAAATAGCTATTTTGTTACAATAATTTTATAAACTTTAACTTAGCTACTAGCTATAATACTAATAAAGTGTTATTGCCCTCATGATAAATGAATTGTGCTAACAAATAAATCCAAAAATATGTCTCAGATTTTTTCATCTTTTAACAGTTACCAAAATTAGGTACTAAAAAAACATCTCCCTACTCCTTTCACCCAGTTTTTCGGTTTTGGCAAAATTCGCGCAGCGGCAAATGCTTTCTATATTACCTCTCTCCTTTCTAACCTCTTTGACCACAACTTAGGACCATTTGCAACACGAATCGTTTTCTTATTTCTTAAAGACTAGCGGCGCCAATAAGCCATTAGAATTACAAATATAATATCTAAATATAATATTTGTAATATTCTCGGTTTAAAATCCTATCATTAAAATTCATTTTTAAACTTTTTTTTAGAAAATAATGACAACTAACATTTAGTAAAAGATTCAGTTTAATTATTAACAAATCTAAATATGAGAATATCTGAAATATTGATATATAGAATGGAAAAATAAGTCAAATATCTAGATCTGTACTTAACACTGGACAACAAAATTCTCTGAAACATACATGAAAAGGAAGTAGTAAATAATGCTACAAAAGCCCTAATGGTATTCAGAAACATTACGGGAAAAAATGGGGGCTTACCGTTTTTACTTCTTTCCCATGGTTGTTTACAAAAGGCATTTGCACATAACAAAACAATTATCAGTAAATTATAAAAAACCATTATCAAAAACAATGCAAGTTACACTTTAAATGAAAACTACTTAGATAAGGTAAATACACCAAAACCTACTAAATATGTATCTGTACCCGTCCCCTCTTTATAAAATAAATTTTATTTCTTTGAGTTGTCACCGCATCAGTGAATCATTTTAATGATTTTTAAATACCCGGCGAAGTCCTTAAAATCATCACCGTAACAAGGACGATTTATGGTTTTCAATATTTCATTGACGTAGGATAAAAAATAATAATAAATAGATGCAAATGTGCAATCACAAATTTAATTTTAGAATGTTATTTAACATATTGCTATCGATATTTACCCGAATACAATGTAATGGAAATTCTTTTAAATTGTATATACAGTGACCGGCAAAAGTGTGGAACAAATTCATTCAAAAATTCGAATTTAAAAAGAGTCCTTTGATTTTGTTTTTCAATTCAGCACATTTTTTGTAAATTTTTTATTTTTATCGCCATTTTGGCAAAAGCTATGATTTGAATAGTAGGTTATGATATTCTTATTTCGGTAATATGCACATCGGTGCTTTCCAACAAGACAGGCATAATTCAAAAACATGGATTTTTCAAGAGAAAATATATATAAATATATATTCAAGAGAAAATTTTTGGAATTACGTTGAATTATTAGTAATAATGACCCTTAGTTTATGTCTAGGTTAACAAAATCTCTTCCAGGGGCGCATATATGGGGGGGGGGTTAATGGGGGTAATTACCTAACTTTTTATAGATACTAAAAATTATTGCACAAACTATTGACGGACCAATTGCAGTATTTTTTGTTCAATCTGGCAGAAGCGCTTTTTTACTTTCGCCGACTGTTCGCCACTCAAAGCGCCTAACTTAGGTTCCCACTCTACGTTGTACGTGCTTGTATTTCAGAATCTCACTCTTTCTTCGACTAATATTGCTTATTTAATTTCGTTTTTATTTTGATTTCTACTGGAAGTACTGGATACTGGATCACCAAAGTGATAGTGATGCTATGTTCATGTAAGGGTTTTACTTTACAGGTATTTTTATGAAGTTTAGTAATTTAGATTTAAGTTTATGTGATTATAATATCTAAAATTTACCATTGTTGCAAATTAGTTTTGTTCTTGCATTTGCAGATACAGATGAGTAAGAGAAAACAGAATACCTTAGATAATTATTTGTTAAAACCAAAACAAAATAGAGGAATAATAACCTCGGAAGTCGTGAATTTATCACCAGTCGGGGAATCCTCTGAGGAAGCGTGTTCGAGTTCGAGTATGGGTAAACAAGCCGCCGAAACTAGCGCCGGAAGCAGCAGTGACCACAGCGTTGCCACATTTAATATTTTACATGGTTATAAAAAATCGATAGACATTGCCCCTTTTGTCAATACATCTAAAATAATTATATTGCGGGAAAAATATTCGGTTTTAATGTACTCTAATGTACTTTAATGGTTCCGGATCAAAATTTTACGTACCCGTTTTCAATTCACAGAAAAAATTATAAAGATATTAAATGCATTTTATCAAAACGACATTTTGACACTTTTACTTGGCTAACATATTCGCAAGGTCTAAAGGGTATATTTTGTAAATTTTGCATTAGTTTTTCAAAAGTGGGTGATGTACATCAGTCAACTAAGTTGGGACGTCTTGTTACCACTACACTAAATAAGTATTCCAAACTATTCGGAAAGGATGGCGATTTGATAATGCATGATAAATCGCTCTATCATAGAAAAGCTGTTACAGAGGGACATAATTTAATTAAAATTTGTGAAAACCCAGAGATAGATGTAAGAAATACATTAGATCAAGAAAGACAAAGAAAATTTTAGAAAATAAACTTAGATTGAAATCCATTATCGAGTCAGTAATCTTTTTGGGACGACAAAATATTCCATTTAGAGGTCATAGAGATCAAGGATCTCTTGTCGTTTCCGAAGGTTCTTCTGAAGATGAGGATAGTCTTGTAAATATTGAAGGTAACTTTCGTGAATTAATTAAATTTATAATAGAGAGTGGCGATGTTGTATTAAAAAACATTTAGAAAACACTTCATCTCGTGCAACCTAGATTAGTAGTTAAACGCAAAATTAAATAATTGAATTCTGTGTTAAGGAGATTTTAGAAACCATTTTACAACGAGTAAATAAAACTTGTATGTACGAAGATTTCGTAGGTTTTATTGATTGGCATGCAATATTTGATGAGGACACATTAGAACCAACAGTTAGTAGTAAAATTTTGGCTCAAATCTTATTTAGTTTTATTAAAAAAAATTATTTAAATCCAGATAAGTGTATAGAAATTGGAACTGATACTTGCAACTTAAAGCTTGGTGAACAAAAAGGAGCCGTTACTGAATAAAAAAAAAATTAACTAATGTACTTAAAAGTCCTTGTGCCAGCCACTTATTAAATTTATCTATTTTAAAAAGCTCAATCGTTCAAGGTGTTAGAAATGCCGTTGACGTTATAAAAGAGGTCAATGCATTTTTTAAAGTTTCCGCAAAAAGAAATTTTCTTCTTAAGCAAAAGTTAGATAGCCATAGTCAGCTTAAAAGTCTTTGTGAGACCAGATGGGTTGAACGTCACGAATCTGTGCTTCAGTTTCAAAGTACTATTCAAATCATTGTAGACCTTCTTGATATTGTTTCCCACTAGAAAGATCGGGACGCCTTTTCAAAAGCAGAATGTTTTAAAAAGCTATAAGTTCCACCGTTTTTATAGTTTCTTTATGCTCTCTGTCTGATATTTTAGCTTTTACTATAAATTTAAGTAAAATATTGCAAAAGAAGTCAATTGATAAACACTATGTTACTACGCTTACACAAAATGTTATCACCATTTTAAAAGAACGACGTCGAAATTCCGAAACTTATTTTAGGACCATTTTTACTTTAGTGTCAGATATTCATAAAAAATTAGATTTAGAAATTATCAAACCAAGAGTTACTCAGAGACAAACGCATCGCCCCAATATATCTGCAAAAAATAACGAATCTTATTTTAGACTTAGCATCTATATTCCTTTGTTAGATAATATATTGCAAGATCTCCAATTTCGTTTTAACGAGGAATCTTTGAATACCTACGAGTTCAATACATTTTTTCCTTCCATTTTCAATTCAAAAACGGATACTAAAATTAGTCAGTCGATTGAAGTAGTTGCGGAATATATAAGCAAATTTGAAAATAACCAAAACAGAGATTTAATACTTTTAAAATTAAAATCTGAATTCAGTATTTGGAAAAGCGTAAAAAAGCGATACAGATGGTATCGGTTTATATTCGTCTTGCGATGAAAATATATTTTCTTTATTAAAAAAATGCCTACAAGTTTTGGTCACTCTACCCGTTAGTGTACCTTCAGCTGGAAGAAGCTCCTCCTCTATATGGCGCATTAAAACCTAGCTTCGTTCAACAATGGGCCAGGATAGATTAGATGGGATATCACTTCTGTTTATACACAGATACATTCAAGTAAATGTAGACCATATTATAAATGGATTTGCAAATAATAAAAATAGACGACTCGATTTTACGTTATAATTTTTTTCATTTCATGTTTTCTGGTCATGCGAGTATGTTATGCCCAAGAAAATATTTTTGTTTGTTTTTGTTATGTTTTCATTTATAAGCTTTCGTGTTATTAATGTTTTTAAAATTTTTTTATATTTATTATACATGTAAAAGTTGTTCTTTTTAAATTTACTTGTATTATATGTTTTTTGTTTGTTTTGTTTTTTAAATTATATCAGAAATAAAGTCAATATTTTCACTACCCCCCCAAATTCTGGATGCGCCACTGATCTCTTATATCAAATATTTTGGCAAAAAAAGCCAGTTTTCTATACAAAAAATTAATTAGATTTAATAGGACTTATGTCACTTAACTATACATAATACAATAAAATAGAAATTTAAGAGTATTGTTTTATTCAATACATTGCAATAGACAAGATATTCTAAAAAAAACGAGGCTAAAACCAGAATAACGAGCCTTGAATTTGAAATACTTTATGGAATATTAAAAACAAAATGCTTGAAAGAAAAAACGTAAGTAAATCTATAATAGTATATAAAAGTAGGTAATAAAATGAAACCTAAATGTTAAAAGCTTATTTCTAGAACTAAGTTTGTCGTTTATTAAATAAATAAAAAGTCACATGGAAACAATGAATGATTAAACAAATATGTTTATATTTTTCAAGAAAAATAGTCCCAACTCAGAATGAAATATCATATAAAATATAATATTTAAAAAAGTTACCGTCTCGATTAAAAACGTTATAAAATAAAATGTGACACTGTTACCCAAATAAAATATAAAATAACACTGAAACTTTGTGTTTTGTCAGTGTTTCTAAAAACTTATATTGAAACTTAAAAACAAATTTGTTAATGCCTAATTTGTGAAAAATGTATCGCACAAAATCGTATTATTTTGAGAAGTAGAGTCAGAACGCTCTGTGGCCAAACTACGCCCAGTTGATGTGTGTCGATCTTACAGGTAAATTATACTACCTTTTTAAGCACATTGATACAAAAATCTAAAAATTTAAAAAATATGAGTTGTGACAGTCTTTATGGAAAGCAGCAACATGTACCTACTTATATTTTTTGTGCTGATAGTTTTGGATAAATAATTCCTAAAGAGGGAACATTTTTCATTTATATTAATGATGTCTTCACAAAATTTCTTCAATCATCATTACATTATTTTTCCTTTACTTCTACAAAAAGAGGAAGTTTCGAGAATATGTACGTCTGTTTGTCTATATATTTGTTTGCATGTGGTTTTGAACAAAAAATGATTTAGGAAAACTGGACATGTCAAAATTTTTCCAAAAACTGACCGTCCGAAGTTTAGTGAAGACACAAAAGTTGACATTATGTTATATGAATAGTCTCACAGTACTTCTAGCCTAGTCGCAGTTAAAACTGCTGAAGTCAGCGCCAATAATCAGTATTACGTTTGTTGAACAAATGAAAGTATATTCTATTAGGCTCAACGAAGATGATGCTAACCGCAGATTGCAATTTTGTGAAAC